CAGCTTTTGACATTTTGTAGTAGTTTTGATATGAACAATTAATCCCATGGGGGTGGGGGTAACATAGTCGGTCCACAAGGGGTACATAGCTGGTCAAAAGTCTTCGGGTTTTGGCAGGCATCGCCACTATTAATTTTTTTGCCTGCAAGAAATTTTGCCCGATAATCGAAAGGCGATGCCTGCGGAGGAGGCTAAGTTGGTTTCAGGTTTCACAGCCATGTTTTAGATGGGTAGGTAGGTCGGAAAAACATTTTATTTTTATTGACAGCTTGACATCCACACTTTTGTGCATGGTGTTATCCGCTGGCAGGATATGCCCACCGCATGTATATTCTTGCAATCCAGTGAGAATGGTTATCTGCTGTTGTTCAGATAATCTGTTTGTCTTTAAAGATTACTCTTAGTTTCCCACACTCAACTGTCATTCTTGCATGCTGAGCTGTAAAATTTGAAGGGTTTTTTCGTTGTTCTTCCTAATAAAAGGTAAAGTAAATACAGTACATCTCGATTAGTTTATGCTATTGTGATATAACCGTTCAATGCCTTTATAGCTACATGAGTATAATAAACAAACATACAGTGTACTGTACCTGATCATCAATAAAAAAGTAATCTACTTGTCTTGCTCCATCATCCTTTGTTTGGGGAAATCACTTTGCAGATGGTCTGTTCAAGTCTGTGGTATCGGTGTCAATCACAGCTTCCAGTGGAAGATAATGATCTCCTTTGTTGATAACTGGATCAGGCAACCATCGTAAGTCCTCTGCAAGCTTTGCTGAACAGCAATTAATGACATCACATTTGCGAATCTGGAAAATAGATTACCTGATTTCATCAGAATTCATTTAAAATTATATATATAAAGTTATGTTTTTAATAATACCTGGAAGACATATTGTCTTGTACAGCAGTGTTTTCCCATCAATGCACTCAGGGTTTGGTTTTTCATAGCTTGAGCTTTAACATAACATTTTATTCACTCGAAAATCTTACAAATATATAATAACACTACAATAAATATTTATACAAACAATATACAAGCTTAGCTGTCCGAAATAACCATTTAGGGCTAATTTAGTTGGATAGCTATTACACAAAAAAATTTAAATAGAGAATAATACATGGGGTGCGCGGAAATACCAGATTTATTTTGAGTGTTGAATATGATATCTCACGAGTGAGCGCAGCGAACGAGTGAGATATCATGTGCAACACGAGAAATAAATCTGGTATTTCCAAGAGGACATAAAGGACAGTCTTTGAAAAGCGATACTTTTTACAGAAAAGCGATAATTGAAATCACATGTGAGATTATCATGAATAATCTCACATGTGAGATTATCACTTTTATCAGTGCTCGAAATGTCTATAAAGCACTATACTTTATATAATAATATATAATAATTCACGGTAGACAGTATATACAGTATATAGGTTTTCGAACAATGACAGAAGACAGGACATTAAACACAATTATATATTACAAGACACACTTATGAGTCAGGCAAATGGTAGATTAAAATGTTGATACTGAATCATATATGCTACTTTAATTTTCGCTATCATAGTGACTGATCATTTGACTTTTAAATTTCTTCTTAAATTTTTTAACGTTAAGAATTTTTAGAGACTCTTCAATTGAATTCCAAATTTTTGGTTTGCTAAATCTAATATTAAAAATTCCATAATTCGTACGGGGTAAAGGTAGCACATATGTTATTACTTTTGACGCCAACCTGGTATAATGCGCATGGATACATTTAATTTCACTGAAAAAGTGGTCAAAGTCAACCGGGAGCAAGCCATTACAAAAACAGAGCATGAAAATACCAGTGTGCAACTTTCCGATATCAAGTAATTTCAACAGATTGAGCATTTTAAACAATGGTGAGGTATGCGCTCGATAATCAGAAAATGTTATAACACGAATTGCCTTCTTTTGTAAAATGACCAAGGGACTTAAATTTGTAATATATGTGTTTCCCCATAACAAAACGGCATACGTAAGGAATGAATAAATAATTGCATTGTACATTTGTAGCAATATTTGAATAGATACAAAGTGACGCAACTTCGCCAGAATGCCTATTCCTCTGGAAATCTTTTTTGATATATATGACTCTTCCAATTTAGGAGAGAATCAATAAAAATACCTAAGTACTTTATACTTTGCTTTTCCCTAATTTGTTGTTCTTGCATTTTCAAAATTAAACTATAGTTAATTTTTTCTGTGCTGGGTGAAATACAATAAATTTTTTTTCTTCTATATTTAGACATAATTTATTTGCACACAACCATTTATCGACCATGGACATCTGTTCAATGAGATTTTGTTCTAGACTTTGAAGATTTTTATGAGAATAAAATAGATTAGAGTTGTCAGCAAACAAATGGAAATCTAAATTAGTAGCTGAAAAGCTAAAATCATTTATGTATAACAAGAATAAAAGTGGCCGTAAAACAGATCCTTGTGGAACCCCACATGTAATAGGTTTTTGTGGCGTGAGTTTCACAGCTTTTACACAAGTGTGAGTTTCACAGCTTTTACACCTGTAATGGAATTTAACTGGCTAAAAGTTAACAAGGAGTTGATATCTATATTTTTCCCAGGACCTTAATTTATCAATATTCATCACGTCATTCGATGTTGCCACTGAAATGGTCGCACAGCAACATACCCTATCATTATATTCCCACAATATGTCCTTTATTTGTTTCCCGTCATTCAAGGTTATACAGTATATGCTCTGGATTCGGACTTATGGCTACATTTTGAAATAACAAAAACAATCAGCAATGCTGGACTTTCTCGTGCGCCGCCATTGTTTATGAGTAACTGTAACATGTGATCAAACATGCCACACGGGATCACCGGCGAGCTACATGTGTTTCGCGAGAAACAAATGCACCAAGCTTTGACCAAGGGCTCAAAGCGTTTTTGTCTTTTTTCAGCTGTAGCTGCCATGTCAGAATAATGTACGTTTTTAATATTTTATTCAACTGTTCTTTGTGTAAAACTATGATTAACATGACTAGATAGTGATTAAATTATAAGCAAACAAAATAATATGTAAACAAATGGGTCTGACGACTATTTATTATATATTGTTTTAGAAATATTTTCTAAAAAATGTTCAATAATTTTATATTAGTACATATTTTATTTTCTCTTTTGACTTGAGTCGTTACCTTTTAACTACAGTCATATTTAATCTTTAAGCAAATAATTACACATTTTTTTCACTTTTTTGGTAAGTCACACACATCATAATTAGTGACGTGTGTGACAATGATGTGTGTGACCTGGTGGTTTTTAGTTAGTTTTCCCTTCTAAAAAGGGCAAGCAGGCATTTTAATGCTCCCTAAAATTGGCGTTGGCTGCACGTGCATGGATAGTGAAAAACAATCATTTATTAATTATTTGACAGTTATTCTATATTTGACTATATTTAACCGGAGGACATTGAGTCGATATTCTTTTTCATAACCAATTTAATATGGTAAGTGCATATATATTTATAACATTAATATACATATTTATAACATTAATATTCTGACCTGAGGCAATCTACAGCATGTTTTTATAGAGTCTTAATAGCAAGTCGATCAATTTTTAGAAAGAAAGCGATATGGAAAAGTTTGTCATATATAGCTAATGGCCAGATAAACAAAATTTCAAATATACATTGTCAGAATTGGCAAGCAAAGATATTATATAATAAATTTGAATTGTCACAGTCTGACTGTGACAGTCATCATGCTGTCAAAGTTTGAATCCACATAGCAATGCCAAACATTTATCCAACTACTGTTGAAATTTATTATCTGTTCGAACTTATGTGTATTGAACTTTTAACTCTCTTTAATAATTGCCAAATATTTCCTGAATTATATAAAATACGCTCAAAAACCATAGCTCTTGCTGATTTCTTAAAATTCAAATTTGCCCTTTGCAGCGTTGCTATGCAATGAACACCTGGGAGGCGTTAATGTGGGCGTTAATGAGGGCGAGTTGTTTCGCGCAAAAATTAATTGAATTAATATTGTTTCCTGATTTTCAAAAAAGTTTTAATTTAAATTTGTATTCAATAGATTTCTTGTCGTGCAATTTTCCTTAGAAATCAAACTTTTGGTCGCATCTTTAAAATCCCTATAATTTTGTAAAACAATGTAAGAAACAATGTATATAAATATTGACAACCATGCGCTATAGACACTAATTTTCTCTATACAGTGCAGATTAGTGCCGATGTTTTTTTTGGGGGGGGTTGAAAACAAAAATTTGGTGTCAAAAATTTTTTTGCGTACTACGCACGCTAAAAATGTATTCTCGCAAAACAAAACCTTAACATTTTTCCGGAAATTCTACCTTACCGCCTGCTATCTTTCCCAAATTTACCTATTTAGTCCTTTAATTGTTGTATTACGATTTACAAGAAAAACTACAGTATAATAGTAATAACTATAGAGCAAGGTTTAAAAGATTTCTGCAGGACAACGAGTTGACTGTTACAGAAGATGCAAAATTAAGCAAAAATGAGAAAAGAAAGCTCTCTAATAGAAAAGATATCAAGAAATACAGAGCTAAGATGACCGCGACAGTGGTAGACTTTAAGAAGAAAGTAGACATGTTGAAGCATGTAGGAAAAAGAGAGTGAACAATATGTCGGCTGAGGAAAACTCAGAATACAAAAGAAAGGCTGCCGAAAGGAAGAGAACATAGCGACAGAAAATAGTGCAGGCACATCTGCAAGTAGTCCAACTTCAACAAGTACTTCCACACCAACGTCAACTCCCCAAAATCCATACAAGCGTCCTCAGAGCTTTGGAAAGGCAATTCGTAAGTCACTGAGATCCCTGCCTGTATCTCCAAACAAGAGAAGATGCATTGTAGAGGGTTTGGCAAATTCTGCGAATTGAGACCGAAGAATGTCCTCCTCATGAAGCAGACTGCAGCTGATCAATGCAAGTGCAAAATACACGAGAATCTCTTTTTGAAGCCGAAATCTCTGAAATTACCTTATTCAACCTTCTGGGAAGATGTTCTATGCGATACCATGGCAGGCTGATTAAGATGTCAATTGATCCAGGAACGATGATTCAATTGCGGCAATGGGTCACATGTATTAAGGAAGTCGAACAAAGAAATGGAACCGATTCAGACACAACAAATGATGTGGATGACAATGCAGCACCTTTGGCATCACATAACAAGACCTATAAAAAGTTGGAGTGTCAGTTGAAAGAGGAGAAGTGCTACAACAACTTGTCAATGAGTGGAACGTCATCGTAACTCACATCAACACAAAGCGCATCCAAGCGCAAGAATTCGAAAAGGATAAAAAGAGTGAAAACGCCAGAGTCCTCCAAATTGACTTTGCCATGAACTATTCATGCGAGTACCAGACTGAAATACAGTCAGCTTTATGGAGCAGAGCAAGCGTTACATCATTTACTGCAGCAGCAATAACCAAAGATTCGTGCCAAAGTTTTCTTATTTGTTCTGACACCAAAAATAAAGATAAAGATACCGTTGCTGCATTCCTCTTTGCCTTGTACGAAAACCATCTTTTCCCAAGCAACCAAGTTGATGAAGAGATCATATGGAGTTATGGCCCTACCTCAGAATTCAAAAATAAATTTGTAATGAAGCTCATTCACCAATTGTCTTCACAGTTCCAGAAAAGGTTTTCATGGAAGTTCTCCGCTACGTCTCATGGAAATGGAGTCATTGATGGGATTGGTGGTCGGGCAAAATTGTTGGTTTGACAAAAGGTTCGACGAAAATAATGCAAATCTCGATCAATTAAAATAAACTGTGAATATTATACTCCTGATTATCTCCATCAACAAACAAATATTAAAAAGCAAATCTAGATAATACGAATATAGTTTTAGATAATACAATGATTAACCTAAATATTAGAAGTATACTTAATAAATTCGATTCATTAAATAACCATAGGTTTAACCGAAACGTGGCTAAATGATAATAACGATGACCTCTTCAAACTAGATAATTATGATTTTGTAAATGTAAACAGATCTAATAAAATTGGAGGAGGTGTAGGAATTTATATCACAAACCAAATTAAATATAAACTACGCACAGATTTAAACACATGTATTGAAAATGTAATTGACTCTGTTTTTATTGAGATAATAACAGCTGTTGGGGAAAATATAAAAGCTAGTCGGTCTAATATATACAGACCACCAAATAATAAAATTGATTTGTCTAAAAATAATGCGAATAACATTCTAGGGAAAATAGACAAAGAAAATAAAATATGCTACCTTATGGGGGATTTCAATATTGTTACGAGCCGGTCCCTAATATTTTATCTGGCTGCTCTGGTTCTGTTTACTCACAACAAAAGAATGTAAATCTAAGCATTTTACTTTTTTGATATATATATTTTATACTAGAAAAGCATTAGTTATATTAATTAAGTTATATGATAATATGGTTAATTAGGCTATATGTTAAAATTAAACTTATCTGTCCGAGTGAGCATTGCAACTTGATATAGTATGGTTCAATAGTTCAAGTGTAATTCACAATAAATCAGTCCACAAGATACCCATGTTGTCTTCGTTAATATCAGCGTGTTAAAGCAGCTTTGTCTTCAGCCATGGAGTTTTCTTGAGAGTTGAGTCTCATTCCTTTTTCTTAGTCCTTGCTCATTGCTAATCCTAATATTAAAGATAATGTTCACTGATGCGTGAAGCTACTTTTATAGAGTTAGTCAGAGGATGACTTTGCCATCTTGACGCATTTCCTATACGCAATGCTGTGGTCATTGGTAGAAAGTTCTCTAACCACATTCATGCCCATTGACGTTATTGTCGGCGTTTTCTTTAATCTTTAGAACTATGTGCTTACTCATCCATGTAAGCTATTTAATAATATAATATGAATATTTAACAATTAGATAACGAGGCCTTGTTGTCTATGAGCGAATAGTCAACGAGGCGAAGCCGAGTTGACTATTTGCTCATAGACAACGAGGCCGAGTTGTCTAATTGTATAAACTTTAACATTAATTTACAACTAGGCTGCAAACACAATACAAAAATACACAAAAAAACATTATAAAACCATTAAAGGTAAACAAATATTTTAGTTTTTGTTTGCGTAAAATGTTTTTACAATTTCATTGAGTGTATGTTATTTTGTCTATTTTCTTACCCTTAAAAATTGCCATTCCATATTTTTGTTGCTTTTTTCGGGGTTTTTTAGTACAGAATTGTTCAACAAGTCATCCAAAAAATCATCAGACACTTACGCAAAAGTGCAAAACGCGAATTTTCCGCCATTTTGAATTTTCTATTAGTAGGCTATCACTAATAGCCTACTAGTAGCGTAGCCAATCAGAAGGCATGATATGTGATAGCCTACTAGTAGGTTTATACTAAAAAGTATAAGCTATATAGTATAATAATAATAGTATTATATAATATTTAATATATGTAAAATTACATAAGCATTATCATCTGACAATATTGATCTATTAAAATCAGAGTCTTGTGATTATACCAACAGATTTCTTGAACAACTGTTCACGTATATGCCTCTTATACTGAGACCAACACGAATCACACACCATACAGCTACACTAATAGACAATATTTTTACTAATGATATGGAAACTATAGAATTGAGCACAAATGGGATACTTTTTTGTGATATCTCTGATCACTTACCAGTATTTCATATACGCAAATTTAAAGATCAACAACATAAGACTAAGCCAGAAGGGAAACGACAAAACGCGGACCCCAGGTCCGTGGACTACCTTCGTGGACCTGGTCCATGGACTACCTTCGTGGACCACTCTCATGGACCACTCTCGTGGACCACTCTCGTGGACCATTCTCGTGGACCACTCTCATGGACCACTTGCGAGACACCAGATTTTTGGGGTTTGAATTCTTGATGTGCATGCAAAAATGTGCTTGAGTTTGAGTTCAGTCATTATTATCATTGTGGAAACTTTACACAAAATGTGAAGTTCTAAATCCATTCACTACATGACTATTCTAAAATATAAGTGTAATTACGACTTTAATGCAAAGTTTCCGAGTATATGCCTTTAAAATTGGTAGTTTTTTTTCTCGATCGCTACAGGAAATGCAAGAAAGGCAGTAATCGAGCTGCAAAAATTAATATTTTTGGGAGAGGACCTTCAGGCATTGAAAGGTCATTGCAACTTACGACTTCTACAGTTCAAGTGATTTTTTAACAGTAAAATTCGAATAATTCAGTAAAATCCTTTGACCAAACCCGCCCCCCCCCCCCCCCCCCTCCAGATTCTCCACAGTATTTCTATATTTTTTAATGGAACCCTGACTACATTTTTTCAGCATTTTTACAGACTTAGTATTCACTGTTCATCAACAAAAACTGAATTGATTGTGAAATAAATAATGGAAATGAATAATGAAATAGTTCCCGCCAATCTCGGCTCACTAAACTCAGAATAATAGTGCTTGGTCTATTGTTCGGTAGGCGAAATTTCGCAAGTGGTCCACGAGAGTGGTCCACGGGAGTGGTCTGTGGTCCACGAGTGTAGTCCATGGACCAGGTCCACGACAGTAGTTCATGGACCTGGGGTCCGCGTTTTGTCGTTTCCCAAGCCAGAAATGGAAATTATTAATAAAAGGATCATCAATGATTCCAATGCTAAATCATTTGGTAATACAATTAAAACTACATCATGGGAGGATGTAATTTCCAACAGTAATACTGCAGAGTCTTATAACAAATTCTTCAATAAATTCTCTACAGCCTATATGAAAAAGGAAATTTGACAAAAGTAAAAGTCCATGGATGACAAAATGGATTGCAAAATCAGTTCAAAAAAAGAACAAACTTTACAAGAAACTTCTAAATTGCCCTGTAATAAAAAATGAGATTATATACAAAAAATATAAAAATAAATTGAATCATGTAATAAAAATAGCAAAAATGGAAACAATTAATGAAATTATGAATAAACATAGAAACAATATAATTTTACCAAAGGAATTCAACTGAGACTCTTCAGATTAAATCATTGGTGATCCATAAAAAATAGCAAACAGATTCAACAAGTATTTTGTAAATATTGGACCAGGTCTAGCAAAAAAACTTCCAGACAGTGAAATAACCTTTGACAAATATCTGACTAATAAGAATATTATTTTTTTTAAGCCAAACATGAAATAGAAATACAAAACTTAAATTCTAAAAAAAGTCAAGGTTATGATGGTATAAAAAACCATGACCAGCTGATAATTTAAAAAAAATAAAGTAAAAAGCAAATTCCGAAAATACAGGACATCTTCCGAATTCAATATATAATTCAAAACAAGATGCAGTTTGAGACTGTAAATTTTCGACTTTATTTCAAAGTCAACTTCAGACAGAATGAAATACAATACTTTACAACACACATATATATACAACTGTCATGTGGGCGGAAAGAAGGATTATCCAAGCGAAGCGAAACATGATAGAGAAAATAGTAATAACTGAAATGGATTATTTCGCTATATTTACAACAATGTTTTAATAGTTCACACAAAATCGAAAGAATTTTGAGGAATGAAGCAGGTATAAAGGTATACCCATTCCAGTGAAAACAAATTGTTTCGAGCTCTTTGCACACATAAGGACAATGTAAATGAATCTCAGAAACCTGGTGTGTACCGCATGCATTCCTTGTGAATGTGGTCTGGTTTACATTGGTGAAACTGGTCGAAATCTCTCAGTACATCTTAAGGAACACAAGACGAATTGCGAGAAAGCCGAGCAAGATAAATCTGCTGTGGCTAAACATACTTGGACTTACGACCATCGTATAAAATGGGACGAAGCAACCATTTTGGCAATTGATAGTCATAAGTTCTCTTGCAAAATGAGAGAATCAATTGAAATCGAGAAGCACAATACTATAGATCAGGAGGGAAAGCCACTAGATAGTACGTGGCGTGCTCTCTTTAATGTGCAAAATTAATTTCTCTTGTCTTGGATGCGCGCGCGTTAATTGGAATCACTTCACTACGTTTGAAATGACGTGGTTGATGTGGTTTAATTGAATTTCAAATGACACGAGCCAACAGATCACGACACTCTTGTATATATAAGAAGAGCGTGTGAATTAAACAAGTCACATATTATTAGCACTGATGAAGATCCGGGGCTTACGGATCGAAAGCTTTGCAGTAATAAATTTACATGGTGTTTCCACAAACAAAAACAATTAATGTTTAATAAATTAAAAGGAATAAGATAGAAAGGGAAGACCCGACAAGTAGGAGAAGATTAAGTTAAAGTGTTATGTGAACAGTTGTAGTTCTTTACTAGCTTTAAGTTCAGTGTTAAGAAAATGTTTGTTATGTTTGATAAGCAGTACTTCAAGAAAAGCAAGAATGTTGTAGTTGTTAGATTTTATAATGTGAAGTATTCTGTAGCTGTTAAAAACAAGGTTTTCAATAGGAGAAGAGTTGTCAGAAGGCAAAGGAAGATTGTTGAGTAGTGTGAACTGGTCTTGTAAAGTAGCTAAGAATTGAGCATGTTCACACTCAGAAAAATGTTGGCCCACTGCACTAGAAGAGAGCCTAGTTGCATGCTCTTTCAAACGTACAGAAAGGCATCTGTGTTATGCCAATATAGGTTTTTCCACAACCAGGGCAAGCGACCTCGTATACAAGATTCCTACGAGATAAAGGAGGAAGTTTATCTTTGTTGGAAACAAAATAAGAGAGTTTTTTAGTGTCATAAATAGTGATGAACTTAACCGGTTTAGAAAGAAATCTTTGTATTTTATTGAGACATGATTTTAAAAGAAAATCGCCACGGTTTCCGAGATAAAGAAGACAAATCCAAATTTTAGGCAACATATCATCATCAGTGTCATGATTAACGGCATCGGAAGTAGAATTATCAATATATTCGATTTTAAGCTTTTTAATCAAAAAGTTTCTAACGCCATTAGGATAACCATTCCAAGACATAAAAGATTTGATGGTTTCAATTTGATTGACGAAAAGTGTTTTCGAACTGCAAATTTTAAAAGCCCGAGATTTTATCCATGCAGTTTTGCGATGAAAAGGCTCAAAACTTGAAAAATGCGAATACTGACCAGTGTGGGTGTCCTTACGATAAATGTCAGTACCATCAACCGAGACTTTTATGTCTAAAAAATTAACTACGCCATCGGGAAATGTGTCAACTGTGACACATATATTAAACATTGTTGTAAATATAGCGAAATAATCCATTTTCAGTTATTACTATTTTCTCTATCATGTTTCGCTTCGCTTGGATAATCCTTTCCACCCACATGACAGATGCTCTCTCTCTGCATTGTATATATATGTGTGTTGTAAAGTATTGTATTTCATTCTGTCTGAAGTTGACTTTGAAATAAAGTCGAAAATTTACAGTCTCAAACTGCGTCTTGTTCTGAATTATATATTGAATTCTCAAGATGTCCTGTATTTTCAGAATTTTCTTTTCACTTTATGATGGTATAAGTTCACAAGTTATTAAGACAATTGCTAAGGAAATTTCTGAACCCCTTGTCACACATATTCAACTTGACTTTCCTTAGTGGAACTATTCCGAATGGCCTAAAAATAGCTCTAATTACCCCAATTTACAAAGCAAATAAAAAAAAATGAATTCAAAAATTATCGACCAATTTCTGTACTCTTGTTTTTCTAAATTACTAGAAAAACTAATGTATAAGAGATTAATTAAGTTCATTGAAAAAAATAAATTATTAACACATAGTCAGTATGGTTTTAGAGAAAATAGATCCACCGAGCATGCAGTCATTGAACTTGTTGACAAAGTTAGTAAAACAATCAATAAAGGTGAATACACGATAGGACTCTTTCTTGACTTGTCAAAGGCCTTTGACACTATTAATCACAAGATTCTGATTAAAAAACTGGAACACTATGGTATACGGGGAATAACACAACTATGGTTTAAAGATTATTTGGAAAATAGAAAACAAATAGTGAAATATGATCAAGTTAGGTGAAATGAAATGGTGATTAGAATTCTATTTTTTATTCCAATTCTATTTTTGCTTTACATAGATGATATTAAACAGTGCAGCAAATTACTTTCATTCATATTATTTGCTGACAACACTAATATATTTTATAGCAACAGCTGTCTTAAATCACTTATGGAATCTTACAAACTGAAATTAACAAAGTTACAGAATGGTTAAATAATTAACGTAAATAATAAATCATCTCTAAATATCCAAAAGACAAAATTCATTTTATTTAGATCCTCTAACAAAAAACCAAAACATGAAATTCAAATTATTATGAATGATGTAAATATAGAACAAGTTAAAAGTACAACATTTCTTGGTATCATCATTGATGAATGTCTGACATGGAATGATCATATAACTAATGTTTCAAAAAAACTCTTGAAGGCGTCCGGAATAATCTAAAATTAGACATTTCTTAAATCGAAATACTATCTAACTAATTTATTATGCATTAGTCTATCCATATCTGATTTACAGCAATTTAATTTGGAGTAGCACATACAAAACCCGAATTAATAAAATAATGAATATCCAGAAAAGAATTGTACGTCTAATGACATTTAAGTAGTATGTGGAACACACTGAGGCTATATTCAAAGAATTACATATACTTGATATTTTTTAAATCAACAATTATTTAACTGCTTTATTTATGTTTCGATATCATCATCTTAAAAATTTACAAGAATATTTTATTAACTACTTCATCACAAACAACCAAATTCATCAACATAATACGAGAAACGCATCAAAACTTTTTAAATGTTATAAGAGAACAAATTATGTAAAACACATTTTTCAAATAAAGGAGTTGATGTGTGGAACAAATTAGAAACAGATCTGAAAGACATAAGTTTCTATGATACCTTCAAGAAACTAATTAAGCAACACTTTATACTAAATCCAGTACTACAAATACATAGGTTCAGAAATCACACTTTCTTTATGCAGACAATGTCCATGCATTGTAATTGTGCAAATAATACCACATAAAAATCTAACTAGTATATCTCTTTATCTTAATATTGTAAACACTACAGTATTTATCCTTCATACCTCAAGTTTGTAAATATCTTGTATATACCTTATAAAACTTTTCCTCTGCATTTAATATTATCTTAAATATTACTGTAAATATTAAAATCATCTAAGTAATCTAAATAGGACATGACTAGTGGCCAAAAACAAAAGCCTGCAAAAGTTTCTAGTAGGTCTCTAGCCCAAATAGTATTTTAATGACATGGGAAAATAAATTTTAAAAAACCCTTTAAGTGGCAATGCCCATGGATGTGCTCTACTTTATTGTTTTGCTCTGTCTAAATGCCACACTATTTTACTCTGGCTAATGCCAGACGATTTTACTCGTCAGGGAGAGAGTTAATTAAAAGCAGTCATGTCTGTTCGCACCTAAAACAAGTAGTATTATACTTATCAGAGCCTGTTGGAAACAATTGCATGGCCAGAAATCACGGACAGTCAGCGGTTTTAATTGTGGGCGCGGAAAATGTTCCCACGCGGGCGTGTGACATATGCGCAGCTTCAAATCCATAGTTAAATCGTGTGACAACTCTGAACAGATGATAAACAAATATTATAAATAGATTCGACAATGTCTTTTTACAATGAGTTGAATCATTTGAGCACGGCCGACTTTTATGAATGCAAATCAACATCGAGGTCATCTAAAAGAAAGGCAACGAAAGCTTTGAGTGAGTTATTTGAAGTTGAGAGAGTGATTTCCCGTAGAATTCAACGAGGGAAGGTGAGCGTGAGATAATAAAGTATATGAAATTGATATACAGGGTGTATCAAAATAAACGCAATTCATGTTTGGTGCTTAATAACTTTCAAAATACTATTTCTAGTTAAACGCTTTTAGGCTTACTTCAAAGCCTGTTCTTTTCTCTTTCAAACAAACTATTATCCTTGTCTCCAATGCTAGTAATAATTGCACAGGAAAAGATTTAGTAAAACCAATCATTTTTAGTTGCTGTTTAATTATGCAAGTTTACTATGTTATTGTTTAGTCGGTTTAAATGTTAGAATTTTCTTCTTTAAACTTTAATGTTGTCGTCACTACATCTGGAAAACCACGTAAGAACAAATTAAAAGTATTTTAAAAGAGACCATGCAGGTTGTTTGAAAATCCTAAACGAATACTAAAAATCGTCAAAACATTCTGGTGTCTGAGCCAGAGTGTCATCGAATTGCGATGTAATGTAAACAGAAATTATAGCAAGTTGATGTCAGTCAGCTTAGATGGTCCAAACCAAAATTATATCACATTTGAAGTTTCAAACTGAGTTAAAAATAGTGGAAGAAAAGCCGTCATTATACTTATTGTTACAATCCATTTAATAAAATGCAACATTTTTTTGTTTTAATGAAAAAATCAGTTATTTTCATGAGAACGATTTGTTATTCCATCTTAATTTTTTTAATCTCCAATCGCAATAACGTAAAGTATTATTAGCCGCGAACCAATGAGTCAAATTTAAGAAACAACCCACTGTTAGAAAACTGAATGGCTACGCTTAAAAATGAATGTAAACTTTAACGTTTTCGTCTATTATTTGTTTAGCAATTTAGATTAGAGTCGAGGATTGCGCTTTTTTTGATACACCCTGTAGTACTCAAAGCTTGTTCATTTTTAAAATTGCTTAAAATGTCTTTGATTTTGATATTTAATTCAGAGCCAGAGTGTCATCGAATTGCGATGTAATGTAAACAGAAATTATAGCAAGTTGATGTCAGTCAGCTTAGATGATCCAAACCAAAATTATATCACATTTGAAGTTTCAAACTGAGTTAAAAATAGTGGAAGAAAAGCCGTCATTATACTTATTGTTACAATCCATTTAATAAAATGCAACATTTTTTTGTTTTAATGAAAAAATCAGTTATTTTCATGAGAACGATTTGTTATTCCATCTCAATTTTTTTAATCTCCAATCGCAATAACGTAAAGTATTATTACCCGCGAACCAATGAGTCAAATTTAAGAAACAACCCACTGTTAGAAAACTGAATGGCTACGCTTAAAAATGAATGTAAACTTTAACGTTTTCGTCTATTATTTGTTTAGCAATTTAGATTAGAGTCGAGGATTGCGCTTTTTTTGATACACCCTGTAGTACTCAAAGCTTGTTCATTTTTAAAATTGCTTAAAATGTCTTTGATTTTAGATATTTAATTCACAATTTATACCTTCATTATATGCTGTATATACAATTATTCTCTCCCATGCTCTCACTGATCGGTAATGTCTTGCTTTTAACACTCGAATAATTTTATTACAGGCAAATTATTATGTGAAATGGAGAAATTTCTCCAGCTTACAAAATAGCTGGGAGCCAGAGGAAAATTTGAATACCACCGCATTAAGGTACTGTTTCATGATTGAGTCGATCTACCATTAGAGGAATCTATGTGCAGAATTTTGTATGGTTTTCATTGATTCTCCAGAACAACTCATATTTTGTATTATATTTCAGAGCTTTTGAAAACCCAGCATTGTACATGCCTGATGAAATAATTCAGGATTCAAGAGATGCTTTGGCTTGTGGTATATTGGAGCAACTGAAATCCAGGAGCATACTACCGACTGTCATCCCCTTTCGCCATGATGTTTTTAGATACTTTTTTTGGTGGAAAGGGAGAAAAGAGCAATGAAAGAGGTGCTGTACTGTTACAAAAGTCTGATTTCTTGCAATTTTCCAAATAATTGGGACAGAGTAATGGACAGCATAGGAGATGGTTTAGGACTTCCCCATTAAGCTTCGACCATTCCTGTCATGGAGCCCGAAGACGTATGAACTTAGGGATGGACAAGTTATTCCAAGCACAAGATATCGCCCTGAGAAATTAAGTATCTCTATGTGTAAAATAGCATTATAATTATATTAATATTTATTTGTACATCCATGAAACACAATTAATGAAATAGATTATCTAACAATAGCTTAACTCATTTCTGCCAAAACAGCCACAACTCTTAGCAATTCTCAAAAAAGTACTAATTTTGGTCAATTAAATATTTAATTATTTAAGAAATAGACATGGAAATTAGATATTTTTGCTCAATTGACCTTGCTATTAAACAAATGCATTGGATTATGCAACAAAACAGGGTTACAGGGCCTGTCTTGGCAGAGATGGGTAATTTCAAGTAGTTATATTCATTCAACTGTCCTTTATTCTTTTATTCCTAATCTCAACCTCCCAGTAATTTTTATCTTTTTTGTTATAAACTCTCTTTGTTTGCTGGCTGCCGTGTAATTCCCACTGCCTTGATTCTAATTGAAGGACATCTGATGCTGTGTTTGGAGCGATTATAAAATACCCGGCCACTTTTGGATTTTGGTAGTGTTTGCTTTTGGGAGATACGGGGATACGCAGTGAATAAAATGACGTAATTACTCAAGTAGTTTAAGAGGAGAATTGGTAACTATTATATTTCAATGATACGGGGATACGCAGTGAATAAAATGACGTAATTATTCGAGTAGTTTAAGAGGAGAATTGGTAACTATTATATTTCAATGATATGGGGATACGCAGTCATTAAAATGACGTAATTCGAGTAGTTTAAAAGGAGAATAGGTAACTATTATATTTCAATGATACGGAAATACAGGGATACGCAGTGAATAAAATGAGGTAATTATTCGAGTAGTTTATTTAAAAGGAGAATTGGTAACTATTATATTTCAATGATACAGGGATACACAGTGAATAAAATGACGTAATTATTCGAGTAGTTTAAAAGGAGAATTGGTAACTATTATATTTCAATGATACGGGGATACGCAGTCATTCAAATGACGTAATTATTCGAGTAGTTTAAAAGGAGAATTGGTAACTATTATATTTCAATGATACAGGGATATGGGGATTCGCAGTGAATAAAACGTCATGAAACGACAATTTATTTGGAAATCGGAATTAAAACAAATAGTTAGTTTTACGAGTATATTTGATGAAAAACGTATATTTATAATACATGGAACACTTATAATGTATTAAAGAACCTTAGATTCTTTATTACTCATTTGACTGCTCTTTGGCATATTAAAAGTTGCTTTATGTTTTGTGTTATGGCACTGTGACATTGACGGCTGTACTTTTCTTCGTATTGGTCTTGGGTGATGAATGAGTTTGATGGTCGTGCTTCGTAAGTGTTGGGTGATTTCTTTACAAATACTGATATTGGTTTAAGCACTCTATATATGCATATTGTATAATAATTAATGTATAATTTGTGTAGGTTTACAAGATATAAAGTTTGAGTGCTAGCTGAGTGTATGTTTATGTGTTAGATATGAATTAATGCATGCATCAGTGGTGCATTGTATATTTGTGTGCATATTAAAAAATACAATAACAGGCGCATGATGTTTTTGTATGGTAGTATTTTGAATTTTGATAGTGTTTGGTTTTGGGGGATTTCTGTGCGGGTTTATTGAGTACAAGAAATACAATATGCTGATGTCTGATGAGTAATATTTTTTGCGGGGTTTATTGAGAACGAGAAATACAATATATGAGTCAAGTAATACAACTGATATATGAGTAATATTTTGTGCTGGGCAGTTTGTTGAGAACAATATACTGATGAGTAATATTTTTTGCGGGTTTATTGAGAACGCTAGAAATACAATATAGGAGTAACATTTTGTGCGGGGTTTTATTGAGAACGTGAGAAATACAATATACGAGTAATATTTTGTGCAGTGTTTATTAAGAACGAGAAATACAATAGGCCTATATGAGTAATATTTTGTGGGGGGTTTATTGGGAAAGAGAAATACAATATATGAGTAATATTTTGTGCAGGGTTTTATTGAGAACGTGAGAAATACAATATATGAATAATAATTTGTGTGGGGTTTATTGAGAACGAGAAATACAATACTATATGAGTAATATTTTGCGCAGGGTTTATTGAGAACGAGAAATACAATATATGAGTAATATTTTTTTGTGTGTTTTGGGGTTTATTGAGAACGAGAAATACAGTATATGAGTAATATTTTGTCCGGTGTTTATTAAGTATTTAAGAGTGAGAAATACACTATATTTATAACCCCTTATTATTGAATATAGATTAATTATTTAACGATTCCCTGTTTATTTAAATACCGAAACACTCGAATAATTATGTAATTTCCTTCACTGCGTATCACTGTATCCCCGTATCATTGAAACTTAATATTTACCCAGTCCCTTTATTTAAAAAACCCAAACACTCGAATAATTACGTCATTTCATGATTCACTGCGTATCAACATATCCCCCCAAAATAAACAGTATCAGAAGTGGATGGGTATTCTATAATCTAGCCCTGTGTTTGTATTGTTTGATTTGCACAAAACGACACTCCTTGCCACATCATTGTTTTTCTCAACCCCTTGGCCGGTGAAGAATTTCACAGATCGATACATTTTCATAAACCAGGGCACATGATATACTAGGGCATGCATGTAAGGAATAACTGCTGCTCTGCTATATCCTTTGTGAATATATCCAGTTTTTAAGGATGTGAAAAGTTCAATCCATTCTTTTGCTTTTACAAAATAATTGTCAGAGACTTCATCTGTTGTCTGTTTAGCAGTTACTATTTTGTAGAGTTAACTAAAATTGTTCCATATTTTAATAATAACCCCACATGTACCAGGCATCAGACAATCGGCCAATTTATCTGGAAGTTCAGCTAATAACTTCTTTTTGTCTGCACCAAGTAGGCTTGTAAAGTCATACTGCCCAGATGCCTTCCCGTCCTCAGTTTTCTTTTCCCATATATCAAAAACTTACCCCGCATGACCTAATTGTTGCCTGAAGATTGAGGAGATGTGTGTTATTTCTTTCACATTTTTTTTTATTAAAATTTTCTTTCATATCCCAGCAAATAGCTTCCTGAATAATATTATTTAATAAGACATCCATTACTCTTAGTAATAAACGTAATTCATCTAGCACAACATGATCCAAGTCAATTTTAATAAGTGGCTAATTGTCAATGAATGAAATAGCTAGCAAACTCAATGACTACTTTATTAAAATAGGTCCTACTCTAGCAAACAAAATCAAACACAATGAAAATGAGAGTTTTGAAAAATATCTTTCTGGCAGTTATCAGTCAAACTTTTTTCTAAATGCGATTACGGAATATGAACTTGAATTAGAACTTGAAAATATGAAGTTGAACAAAAGTTCTGGATATGATGGTATTAATGCTAACATCACAAAAATAACTGCTAAGGAAATTTCTAAGCCATTAACACATATTTTTAACTTATCGTTTTCATCAGGAATTATTCCAGATAATTTAAAAATCGCATTAGTTACGCCAATTTTTAAAGGCAATGAAGAAAATAGATTTAAAAATTACCGACCTATATCAGTTTCTTACTTGTTTTTCTAAACTACTGGAAAAGCTTATGGTAAAGAGACTAATAAATTTTATTGATAAGAACAAGATATTATCAAAACATCAGTATGGTTTCAGATGCAACAGGTCAACAGAACTTGCTGTACTTGATTATGTTGATAAAATAACTAAAGCAATCGAAGAAGGGAAGTTCACTGTTGGTATCTTCCTTGATTTGTCAAAAGCATTTGACACAATTAATCACAAGATTCTGATAAGAAAATTGGAACATTATGGCATACGAGGAACAGCAAAAAAATGGTTTGAAAATTATCTATATAATAGAAAGCAATATGTAAAATATAACTGAGTACAATCTGAAGAAATGACTATCACAAGCGGTGTGCCACAAGGATCAGTTTTAGGTCCTGTATTCTCTTATACATAAATGATATTCAATATTGCAGTAAATTGGTTTCAATTATATTATTTGCCGATGACACTAACATACTGTATAGCGATGTTTGTCTCAAAACTTTAAACGAAACTATTCAAGTTGAAATGAACAAAATTACAGATTAGTTGAATGTTAATAAATTATCTATAAACACTGCGAAAACCAAGCTGATCCTTTTCAGATAAAAAAATAAGAAACCTAAATGTGATTTAAGAATTTCTATAAACAGCGAAACTATAAAACAAGTAAAAAAAACTACGTTTTTAGGGATTGTTATAGATGAATTTTTATCATGGTGTGATCATATAGATCTTATTTCAAAAAAAATTATCAAATGTACAGCTATTATATCCAGAATACGACATTTTACAAACCTAAATTCCTTCAAACTGATCTATTACGCATTGGTCTATCCATATCTTATATACTGTAATTTAGTTTGGGGTAACGCTTACAAATCCCACATTCAAAATTAGTAAATATCCAGAAAAAGATTAATGACCTTCAAATCATATCTTGACCATACTGAACCAATTTTTAATGACCTTAAAATACTAAACTAGTATAAATTGAATGATTTCTTAACAAGTCTATTTATGTTCTGATATTTTCATCTACGAAATCTTCCAGAAATTTTTTATAAATATTTTTTAACTAACAATGAAATCCATAATTACAACACAAGAAACGCATCATTGCTCCACAAAAGTTGTACTAGAACAAATTATAAAAAACACACGCTCGGTAATAATGGCATTGATGTGTGGAATAATCTTCCGACGCAATATAAGCAAATTAGATCTCTTCCAATATTTAAATCTACAATGAAAATATATTTTCTTATGTCAAATTTAAACAAGTAGAATTCTTGGCACAAAGTGAAAAGCCAAATAGTTGTTATAGTCTGATATATCTTTTACGCACTTTCCTTATTGTAAATATATCACCGTAATTCCTTTGAAAACAATTGGACTGGTATTAATTAACTTTTAATATTATATTATTTGAATTGTAACTAGGGACCTTAAACAAAAGCGCCTTATGGTTTCTAGAAGGTTCCTAGCCCTACTATTGCAAATATTTTCTATTTAAATTATTAATTTTATAAACTGATTTGGGCGAATATATTAAATAATAAATAAAATAATAATATTGTCAAGAGCTGAAAAGCCTCTCGAGGAGCATCTAATAAATCATGTATGTACTTGTCCTGTGAACCATTCTTTTTTGCCATGTCAATAACTTGTTGTTTTCTCTTTACTCCAATCCACTTCATCGTGTAGTTTGACAAATTCTTCAACATGAGCTTTCAGTATATCAGTGAATGATATCTGGGCACCATCAGCTTTACCCGGGGTTGGGACAACATTACTGATGTCATTAAGTTGCCCTTGTCTCTGTTTAACAAGATATGACTTGGGAAGACCATGAATGATCATAATAATAATAATAATAATAATAATAATAAAGACTTTATTACAGCTTATCTACATGGTAGCTTTACATCTGCGTAACTGAAAACAATTAAATATATATAAATTGTTAATAATTGTTATCAATTTAAACTAAATTGTTAATAAAAAAAAAACATTGCACTAATACAATACAAATAAGTCTATTCAAGGCGTAGGAATGCTCTGGATTTCAGTAATTGTTTCGCTTCCCTCATGAATATGTTTAAGTCTGCACATGATCGTACTTCTGGGGGAAGATCATTGAATAAGTCCGCTGTTGTCTCCTGGAAAGTTCCTTTTATTAATGGAATCAGTTAACTCTAGACCAAATTATTCCATAACCCAGAGTGCAATTTTTGCTCTTGACAGAAAAGTTTTTAGAGTTCTTGATTTTTTGGCAACATGGGCTATATCTTTGCCCTGATTTACAAAATTGTGTTTTTCTTCAAGACGGTCAATATATGCTAGTAGTTCCTTGTTCTCATCATGCAGATTCTTAATCTCCTCATCTTTCTCTTTCAAAGCAGAAACCATCCCCAAATAAAGCTTCTCCTTTTCTTCCTGAAGATTCTTGTAACTTTTCTTCCACTTTTCTAGATCATCACAAATATTCTCATTTTCTCTTTGCAACTCCTTCACAGAAATGACCATGTCTTCAAATATTTGGAATCTTCTTACTTTGGAATCAAGTTCCTTTCTCTTGCGTGTCCCCCCTTTGCCTTGTTGTACGCAGATTTTACCATTCCTGCAAACTTTTCCAAGAACTTGTTGACTTCATTTCTAATAATTCTGTCTTTTGTAATTCCAAAGACATCCCCAGGTATTGAAAGTTCAAATAGGTTGACATAATCTAGACAATATTGACTTGGGCAAGGATTTTCATTCTCAGCTGTAGCTAAATTCTCCTTTTCCTTCTGGTTTACCATGTATTCCTGCCATAATTTTAATAGTGGGTATGTAATCCCCACTGCAAAAAGAGCTGGCCTTGCATCATTTTTTGCTGCATATGCTAATGAGGGTTCCTCGATACATAATTTCCATTTAAAAATGGAATGATGTGGATGTATATCAGACATTTTGTAGGACGTTGATCCAGGGATAGATGATCATATAAGTGAAAAACAGTAAGAATGAATTTATTAAAACTATAACGAAGATAATACAACTTTCCAAACTTTAGAAGACCAAACAAATTTGAATATATTTGCATTTCCCGCAATTGCTTTTGTTTTGGAGCCTGTTTCCCTCACTTTGGTGTAAAGATTGACAGGTTATAGGCGCATGCGCCTATAAATATTCACTTATCGCACACTAGATTTTTGTACCGAACTATGCGCACACATGGGGTCTGGGTAAGAAAATTGGCTAATTATTTTTATAATTATAAACCATAAATGCAAATTTAATATTTTGAAAAAACTTTCCAATTTAACAACGGAATGTTCAAGCAAAAGTTAAGTTATTAAAAGTTGTCATGTGCAAATTTTGACGGGATATAGGCACATGCACCTATATTCGGATATAAGTACATGTGCCTATATCTGCAGGGTACCGGATGCCGTTTCATTAGAAGAGTTTCAAGTTTAAGTTTACTTTTAAAATGCCTACAGTTACTGTTAAATGTTGGTGAAATGACACAAAGACCCCTAAATGTAGGGGCTCCAGTCTATTTCCCCAGAGCCAATGCCTTCCTCACCCGTGCACACACATTGCCATGGGACAGTAACAGACTACAGTCACACTTTTCTGGCAAGTTGATTTATTGTCTACCATTCAATATATATTTTCTCCGCACGTAAACATAGGCAAATTGTTTTAGTTTGGATTTAAAGAGATTAAGATTAGTAGATTGTTTCAGTTCAATAGGTAAAGAGTTCCATTCCGATACCGAGTGATAAGTGAATTGCTGTTTTCCCCAATTCGTACGTGGGCATGGAAGGTAGTAATTGTTATTCTGGCGTGTTTTATGGCTATGTATACGGGAGATTATGGTAAGGTTAAAATCAAAGTCGACTAGATGGTTAAGACATTTAAAGACGGAGATACAACGGTGGTATTTTCGACGTAGGTAAAGGGGTTTCCACTCTAGAGATTCAAGGGCTTTGGTAGCGGAGGAATGGCGAGGAAGATCAAGGATAAGTCTCACAGCGTTATGTTGCAGAACTTGAAGGTGGTTCATTAGAGTGGAGTTGTTTTTATCTCCCCACACGATATCACTGTAGTCCAGTAGAGGGAGGACTAGGCTGTTGTAGAGGGTGAGTCTGGCTTGAATAGGGAGTAAGAATTTTATGCGGCGAATGAGACCAAGGCGTTGATTAAACTTCTTGCTGATGTTGTCGATATGTTCTGACCAGGTTAAGTTTTGATGAATTGTAACTCCTAAGTATTTGAAGGAGTCAATTCTATCAA